CTCCGAAAGACTGTGTTCAGCTTCTTGGATGCCTGTGGGCTTCTGGCAAGGCTGTGATGAGTGAGAAAATACGACCACCGACTTCTCTTTTCGTGGTTGTGTGCCAGTGATAGTTTCTCTCATGAAGTTTTCTGCGGGAATTTTGTGAACATTCTGTGATGCTCGCGTTCTAGATGTGCCCATTTTCTCACTTTTGACTGATTTCTTGCCGACTTTTTATTTTACTTTAATTTTTTAACTTGTGTTTCATCATCCTATATTTCTCATCACCATCTGTTCCCCCTCCTTTCCCCTGCATTCATTCTCATCAATACTGCAATAACCCAAGCCCGTGAAACTTTTCCACAGCCAGTGAGAAAAACCTCACGTCAGGCAAACACCACCACCACCACCACCACCACCACCACCACCATGATGGTGCCCTTTTAGCTCTGTCTGATCGGTCCCATCAGCTCGTAGCGTCGGCTGCGTCTGGGGTAAAACAAAGCCTAAAAACACAAAAAAAAAATAAGTTTTTCTTTTTTTTTTTAAGGTTTTGGAAAGGAAGATAAAAAGAGTAACGTAACTATACGTTGCCCGTTACTTGAAATAAGTGACGTAAGTACGTTACCCGTTACTGTTTTGAAAAACGTAACGAGTATGTTACGACGTTACTGGAAAGATGTCAGGCGTTACCGGTAACGACGTTATTTGTAAAGCATTACCGCCAACACCGTTTGTGAGTGACCGCCTAGCTGGCCACGTCTGGTGAAAACCAAACGAACACGGAGTCTACAGTCGCGGACAACTTAAGAAAGGCGGGACGTGACCAGTCCAGAGCATCTTATTGCCGCTCCGCAGCCAATAGAATTGCGACATTAGCCGATAAAAACGCCGAAGAACAAAACAGGAAGTAAGAAGCGGTGATTTAAAACGCCACGCCCGGTGTTTCTTAAGATGCCAGAGACTATCCGAGCGTAGTTCCCCGCAACGCACCGAAAACGCCGAGCAGTGGTCTTTCTTCAGTCAATGTCCGCCAGTGAGATGTGCGAGCGGTGGAAACATGTTACAACGTTACAACGTTCACGCCGTCTCAGCGGCAAGAAGCGTCTGTTCTTTCGAAACTGAAACTGAATTGCGTGGAGCGAGATAACTATTGCTCTTCTCATTAGCTAAAATATGATTAATGGGGCTATGAAATGAATTTTAGGCTGCAATGAATGATTTTCGATTGGGGCTTTAGAAATCGCGTATAATTTAGTGGGGCAAAAGAAAGGTGGAAAGTCAAAAGCCGGCTTTTCGGTACAAAAATTTTAAAATAGTAAGCGGACTACTTCGTACTTCCCTCCTTCAAAATCTCTTCGCTTTTTCACTGTGATACATCCGCGGTACCCACAACACGTCAGCAGACCCCAGCTCACGCATGGGGCACGAGCACTGCGTCACCCGGACGTGTGCGCTCGTAAACAATGGATCCGTCGACGAAGATTTGGATTCGCGTTCGTGGCATGTAAGTGCCTTGTCGGCACGTATCATCACTTCATAATGCCAAGTTCTATGGTCTGCTAAATAAGTACGGTGGGAGCTCGGAGTCATCGCATCCAGTAAAATACTACGTCACGACCACGTGATTTCTCATTTCGCTTTTTAGTTAAGGAGGAAGGCCGTGGAGGAAGAAGTTCAACAATAATTTCATGGCCCGTTTAAAACACGACCAATGACTGGTGTTCCGAGCGCATTGCGGTGTGGTGTATGCTCAGGGAACTTCAAGAACGCATGTACGGAAAATATTCTGCGTCCTTTAAGTGCGACAATGCAGTCTCATAGCTTCAGCATAACACCTACACTCTAAGAAAAAAGTTGGCCTCAAGGGACTAACGGCAGCATTTGGTCCTCTGAACTTCCAGTTGCTCCCCGTAAGGACCATCTGGTTCAAGCTAGGTACCGCGCGCAAAAGCTGGGGACTAACAGCGCTCGACTGGGACTAACCGATAGGCGTGCGCGAGCAAAAGCAGCCATTAGTCCCCCTCAGACAGGGTGCATCTGTATGATTTAGTCCCCGGAGGGCAAACGAAATGTTCGGCAGGAGGACGGATGATATTTCGCTCGTCTTGGGGATCGGCGAGACTCTGCCCAGCACGGCTGGAAGTGTTGACAAAACTCGGACGAAACTGGCGAATTTGTTTAATGTGCCACGGACGTTCAGACATTACATGGTAGAGCTTCGCGCGTTGTTCGAATGCGAGTTAACGAAAGTGTTGACTCTACTTCACCCAACTATCTCGTCAAAAATGATCTGTTGACATTTCACAAGTCCCATTCACGTAATTTGCCTTCGCGCAAAAAAAATGAGCATTAATCCAAACGCAACACCTCTGAATTCTAGCACTTTTTTTTTTCTTAAATGAAACTTAAGAGCTTGTAGAAGACGCGCTTTCAACACCGGAGTCTCGCAGCCAGAATAAATGGTCACTTCACTCGCTATTCGCTAAAACTGAGTTACTGAGAACAGGTCGAGCCTCGTCTCTGCGTCTCCCCGTAACCAACCTTTCTCGGTAGTCCAATGTCGAACTCAAAATCCGCACTGACACACTTGATGCACGGCACGTTCCACTTAAACAGCACATTCAGGGGCAGTATCCAGACGCCTTCATATGCCATCGTTGTCGATGTTTCAGATAACATTCCAGATGAACAACGGAGAACGAACCGCGCCCGGACGTCATTCATGGCAACACCCTGCTAATACAAAACAAATGCGAAAAAAAAAAAAAAAAAAAAGGCCCCCGAGAAAATCGAAAAGAGAGAGAGAGAAAAAAAAAAAAACCGTGCTTGCTTGTACGTCACTTGACCGAAGTGTTGAAAACGGCGAAAATAATCCCTGGAGAAGGCGAACCTTCGACCTTCTCCCGTCCTTCGGGCATTGGCGTCTCCGTGTGTCGTGTGTAGTGAAAGGGGGAAAAGAGATTTTCGGGGAAAAAAGATTTCCCTTCCACCTCCCAGCAACCCCCCACCCCGCATTCCTCGCTCACGCAGGGGGCGGGCAGATGGGCCAGAGGGGGTCCGTCGGGAAAATGGGAAGGGGTCTTTGTTTGAAAAGAACCTGTTTAGCCTTCGTCAGGACTTAGAAGCTGGTCGTCTCCGATCATTGCGGGATCCGGTTTGGATTCGCGGTGCTGCAACACTGCACTTGATCTGCTCTGAAGTCACAAGACAAGGGAACTCGATTAAGGTATGTCAAAGTACTTCTGTTTATGGTATATTCATTAACTGCGGTGTCAGAAAGTGTTTTATTTTGAGTTCGTTCTCTAGCTTCCAAAGCACGCGCCATGCTCTATTCTTTTTGGCACTATGGTTGCTTATTTTGTTACGCAGCACAGAGACCTGATATTCAATCGTATCGAGCAAAACGCCAGTTCTACCGATCGCTTATTTTTTGTGTTTTGCAGACCCTGGCAGGATTGTTTTACCATAAAGGCCTCTTTACACACGCAGCTGAGAGCTACAAGCATAGCGCTGACCTAGCGCTAAACGCGTGCTGACGGGAGCTTTCACCAGCTGTGTATCGCACCGTCAAAACTGTTGCTCATGGCAGACGAAAAGCAGCTCACGACACGTGAGCAGCGCTACTTCAGCGCTTCGCTGCGTGTGAGAACCGGCCTTAATTGAGACATTCATTCGATTGTACAGACTTTCGCGTTGATGGCGGGAGCTCGTTCCGTCACTTTGAAGCATAGTTTGAGCACGCACACGCTGGGTCTGTAATTCGCAGCGAACGGTCTACTAAAAATATAATATTGCGCTAGTCTGCTGTCATCAGATCGCATGTTAGATGTGAACCACTGTAGCACTTTTGTAGCCTATTTGTTATTTTAATTGTGTGCGTTATATCTCATACTTTTGCTGAGCGATCGGGTATTTCACGCTGCCCCTGTTGCTAATAATCCAAATTCCTCGCAAACAGGCAAGAAGCTGCAGGTGCCCCAGTAAACGGTGCTTGGACCACGACCGGTTTGGACAGCCGGCCCAGTGTTCAAGCCATCGTCGACGCAAGTGCACTCTTCGGAATCTGGCCTTATCGTGGAGTCTACCGCTCAGGAACTTTGACTTCAGTCATCCTTGAATGCGATGTGTATTTACGAGGCAATAAAGCTACGTTTAACCTGAACTGAACAATTTCGTTTTGGAGATTTGTGGCTCGGGACCAAATGCAAAGGATAAACCTTTAGTCCCAGGAGTCTAAATCCAACGGCGCAACGTTTAGACCCAGGGGTTCAAGTGCAAGGGCCTAACAGTTGGTCCTCGGGGTTCATTTGAAACGGTGTAACAGTTAGTCCCAGGGGTCCAAGTGCAAGGGCCTAACAGTTCGTCCTCGGGGTTCAATTAAGACGGTGTAACAGTTGCTCCCAGGAGACCAAGTGCAAGGGCCTAACAGTTGGTCCTCGAGGTGCGATTGAAACGGTGTAACAGTTAGTCCTAACGGTGCTAGTGCGAGAGACTAATGGGAGGGGCGCAACTGTTACTCCCCTTCCCGTTAGTCCCCGAGGGGACTAATGGTTGTGGCAACGCACTTGCTCCCTTCGGGGACTAAGTCGCGCTCCCTTTTTTCTTAGAGTGTATGAGACTGCTTTGCCGCGCTCCCAATGCTTTTTTTTTTTTTTAAACTTGCAACAGGAGGCACAATGTGTTTATCAATTTTGCGACCTTGCTAAACATCCAGTCTCGGTGACAGCCATTCATACTGAGAGACAATACTTGCTTCTTTTTTTATGCAGCAAGTGAAGAAATGTCTCACAGATGGAGATCTTAGTCTTGATCGATGCGACCGGATAATTCCGGCTCACGCAATATTTTGTGCTTTTCGCGCGCCCGTGTGTTGTCCGGATCAGGTACTTGAAAGCGTGGCACCATCCAGCTAAACACGTTAGCCGGAAGCGCGTTGTAGGCCCTATCAGAGCAACTGAAACTGCGCGGGAAAAAAATGTGCATGCGCTGCCCAGATGCCCGTCTACTCCACTCACTTGTAGCCGTGGTAGGCGAGCTCCGCTTTCGTCTTGAAGTAGTTGAAGACGATCTTGACCTGCTCGCCGAGTCCGCCGAGGAAGACGTACTCGCACCGCGTGCTGGACGGGTAGTTGGCCGGATAGCGCGGGGAGTTGAAGTCCCCGGACGCCTGGGACTCGCTCAGGTACCAGAAGTGGCAGGTGTTGTTCGGCGACGGCGTCCCCGGCACCTTGTAGTCGGTCTCGAACAGGTAGCGGGCCCGAAAGCCCGTGCCCTTGGTCTGGCCGCTCGAGAAGACCATCACGAGCCTGGGGCCCTCGGAGATGAGCGCCGGTGGCGCCTGGTTCCCGCAGAAGGCGTGGTCAAACTCCTCCACAGCCTGGCGCTCCTCCTGGCCCTGCATGTAGAGCTTGAGGTAGGCGTCCTGGCACTCGGGCGCGTCGTCTGCCCGGTGGTCCTCCATGTGAAACTTGTCGAAGTCGAGGCGGACGCGCTCCAGATGCTGGGCGTCCTCCATGCCGTAGATGTAGTAGCGGCACACGATGTTGGCCTGGTACGGCAGAGGCCAGTTCGGCGAGTACACCGTGCCGTTGGACTCCTTCCGGCTTAGGATCTTCTGGTCGCACTCTGGAAGAGAGTCGGAGAGGAATCAGCGCGTCTTCGTAGTACACTATCAGAATGGACCCTTTTCGAAATGAGGCATAGATTAAGTGCTGCCGCCATTCGTTGGTCGTGCACTATGAGCACGCATTGGACACAAGCGCTTCGACAGCATTCGGAGTGTACTCAGATCAAAACCCTTTGCACACGAGTGCTGTGTCAGTGCTTGGCACGAACTCGGAACCAATCACGGGCTTAACGCCGGAAACGATGCGACCAATTAATGGCGGCGGCGCATAATCTACGCATTATTTCTCAATTTCGGAAGGTGTTTATTGTTCCTCCACGCATACTCCACCCCTATGCGCTAGGTACTCCAATCGCTGGTCGTCTCTTAATCTCTTTAACAAATGAGAAGGGCTATCGTTATTATGCTTCACTGGGCTTTCGGGCATCCGGTATAGTGGCTAGACGCCTCATTTGCAGGGAGACTGCGCGGCATCTGGAGCAAGTGCACCGAGTGAAATTTCCATCGGAGAAACTGATTAAAAATATTTTAAGTACATCGCAGTGAAGTATGTATTCAGGGACTTCAAAGACTTTAGAATACAAACTAGTGTCACTTTACACAGTGTCCTTTCTCTTTTCTCGCGTTTTGCCCACATCAGTCTCATTCTAGCCGAGAAGGTTTTGGTTTGCTGCGGCATCATTGTAGGCGGGAGTCGCGCGATACAGGCGCCATCACTTTCATCATCATCGTATGGGTTTCGAATAATTTGATAGTCACTGACAGGAGCTCGAACTTTCTACTTTTGATAACACTTCGGCCTCTCATGAGCACGGGAACTCGAAACACAAAAGGAGGTAAAGATAGCACGCTGAGGGGGACCTTTTACTGCATTCTTAACCTATTTCCGACTATAGTTCAACCAACCATTATAAAACCGGCTTGAGACGGCTACTCGGTGCTCACAATCGAAAAGCGGTTGAGACGTACAAGCATCATTACATGCCTTGTCCCTACATATGTGAAAGAAAAATGATATGGCTTGATTTTAGAAACCCTTCATTTTGTAGCCCACTGATATAGATACTGCAGGCTATTTCTTACAGTTCCTGTTTGTTGTTGCAGCCACTGATAGCAGAATATCTTAAAACAACGTGAATTGAAAAAAAAAAAAAGATATGTCGCTTGGCTATATTTAAGGGTTAAGGTTGCTAGAGCCTAAGTGTCAACCTTTCGAAATCCGGAAGAGAATAATAAAAATTTAAGGAGACATTCAAAGCTCCAGAAACTGGTGCGCAGTACCGATAAAGCTGACACGCATGTTTACGACTCAGAAGAACATATCTCCGGAAAAGCTCTTAAATATTTTAAAGCTGATTCTTTTTTTTTTCCTTTCTAGGTTAGTTTAACAATGTTCCGGGGTGTATTTTATTGGCTGGAGCGCCTGAGGCAAGCTGAAACTTATAATCAGAAAAATAAATCGCATTTGCTTTCGATGACGCCCTTTCGAACAAAATAAAACGATTGGGCCCCTTAGATCTGTTCGACGATACATGAAGAAGGCCGTATATAGAAACTCGAAGAAGCAGTCGAGCAAGGACAAAGAGAAATTTTTTCATTGAACAAACTTGCCGATATCGTAAAGCCAGGAATCAGACGTATTTTTCAAGGTAGCACGGAAAAGATAAGTCGGATACATCAATATCGCATAAAAGATTCTACAAAGCCGTTGTTCTGACGTTCTATTTTTGTCTTTGTTATTTATTTTTTTGTGTTCGGTTTTAGGTAAGAGTGGGCACTATCTGCATGTATTCTCCCGTATGTATTCAGCGCCATAATAGGTACAGAACGCCAGTCATTTTTTTTAACCCGTTCAACAAATCATAAGGTAGGTATTTCAGCGGCATGAAAGCGTCCAACCCTTTTGGCCACTGAGAGTACACGGTCATTAGAGCATGATAGCGATCGCCCTTCTTATTGGGTAGACGGATTACAGAAAGGCTAATGGTTTGTGTTTTGACTGCATCACGGAACACTCTTACAGGTTATGCGCAGTGTACAGACTCGTTTTCCGTTTAATTATCTACATAATGGAACGGCAGCACACGAGTCGAGTTTTTATTGAAATTTCCGTCGCTCACGGCACAAAACTATATGACCCGCCACTAAGACGACACGAACAAAAAAGCACGGCGCACTGCCGTTCACAACTACACATCAATCAAACAAGGAAACATGGCGCGATTGAAAAAAAAAAAAAAAGTCTTTCGTTGAACTGATTCGACCTGAACGGAACGGAGGCAAAAAGCAAAACGTGTGCCAATACTTAACCGTATGCAGTTGCAAGCTAGTCCGCACTTCGGCAGACACTTCAATAACATCTGTGCGCGTTCTTTCCCACAGAGCACGTCGTGGACCGATCACGCTGTTCTACGGACTTATGGCGGGAAATGATGAGCCGAAAAATGTAGCAAAATCACAGTGACACTGCTCGGTTACGTCATACGAGAGACACGATATTCGCTGCCGACACGATGAGAGAATCGACTGCAGACAGGCCTCAAGCATCTTTAAAGCACGTTCGATTCACGTATGCTTAAAAATGTCTGCAGACAGTTTTTGCATGACCGACACGATGGTACAAACATACACGCAAGAAACAAGCGCTGTACGTCAATAGGGAGTTTTAGGGAACCGTTTTTGCACTTCCGATACGGTACGATGGGCCCTCGGGTACGAACTGCGCATGCGCTGTGGCGGAAGACTCGCGCATGCGCCGTTCGTACCGGAGGACCCGTCCTACCCTATAGAATGTGTAAACACGGTTCCCTAAAACTTCCTATTAGGGAGTTTTAGGGAACCGTTTTTGCACTTCCGATACGGTATGATGGGCCCTCGGGTACGAACTGCGCATGCGCTACGGCGGAAGACTGGCGCATGCGCCGTTCGTACCGGAGGACCCGTCCTACCCTATAGAATGTGAAAACACAGTTCCCTAAAACTCCCTATTAGGGAGTTTTAGGGAACCGTTTTCGCACTTCCGATACGGTACGATGGGCCCTCCGCGGTACGAACTGCGCATGCGCTACGGCGGAAGACTGGCGCATGCGCCGTTCGTACCGGAGGACCCGTCCTACCCTATAGAATGTGAAAACACAGTTCCCTAAAACTCCCTATTAGGGAGTTTTAGGGAACCGTTTTTGCACTTCCGATACGGTACGATGGGCCCTCCGCGGTACGAACTGCGCATGCGCTACGGCGGAAGACTCGCGCATGCGCCATTCGTACCGGAGGACCCGTCCTACCATATAGAATGTGAAAACACAGTTCCCTAAAACTCCCTATTAGGGAGTTTTAGGGAACCGTTTTTGCACTTCCGATACGGTATGATGGGCCCTCGGGTACGAACTGCGCATGCGCTACGGCGGAAGACTCGCGCATGCGCCGTTCGTACCGGAGGACCCGTCCTACCCTATAGAATGTGTAAACACGGTTCCCTACAACTTCCTATTAGGGAGTTTTAGGGAACCGTTTTTGCACTTCCGATACGGTATGATGGGCCCTCGGGTACGAACTGCGCATGCGCTACGGCGGAAGACTGGCGCATGCGCCGTTCGTACCGGAGGACCCGTCCTACCCTATAGAATGTGAAAACACAGTTCCCTAAAACTCCCTATTAGGGAGTTTTAGGGAACCGTTTTTGCACTTCCGATACGGTACGATGGGCCCTCCGCGGTACGAACTGCGCATGCGCTACGGCGGAAGACTGGCGCATGCGCCGTTCGTACCGGAGGACCCGTCCTACCCTATAGAATGTGAAAACACAGTTCCCTAAAACTCCCTATTAGGGAGTTTTAGGGAACCGTTTTTGCACTTCCGATACGGTACGATGGGCCCTCCGCGGTACGAACTGCGCATGCGCTACGGCGGAAGACTGGCGCATGCGCCGTTCGTACCGGAGCGGTCATCGACACCGTGTGGGATGTGCAAACACGACTCCATAAAATTCTTCAATGTCTTCAAACTGCCTCCCGTATGATGTATTTTATTTACAGTGTCACCGCGGCTTTGTGCAATCTGCACTCGCAATCTGCTAAAGACGCCTCCACAGATTGCGATTCTCTGTGTTTTGAGCCACGCGACATTCGCTATATCTGTTTTGCAGGCCTCAGCGGTTGGCCCAATACGTGTTCTGCGTACAAGCAACCGCGAGCGGGAATATTTCAGGAGACCGACGAGAAACTGTAAAACGGTCGCCACAATTCGAGCCAAAGCCAACGAGCGATACCATTTGGCAGAAGAACGCATGCCGAGATATGTGATTAATTTCGCGAGACAGGAGGATGATGACACCACTCACCTGTTCCTCGGATGTGTTCGCCGTCATTTTTCTTAATGAAGTCTGCGGAGAAAGATTAAGGGAAATGAGGTCACGCTATAAACCAAAAATGATAACCTTTACGCCAACGCGATGTACATAATACAGGAGCATTTGCCCCCAGCTGCACATACGTAGAGACCCGTTTCCTAAGGGACGGAGTATATTTGCGGCACTGTGCACGCGCAGTCGGCGCCCAAAACAATCAGCCGCACCGCATTGAATGGCGTCAAAAAAATATGAGTTGCTCGGGGTACTTGTTCCCGAATAAATCCCCGAGTGTGTACAGAACATTCCAGCAATCGCTATCTGCACACTGTCATCTTTGTTTTTCTGAGTTGTGGCACGAGTTCTGAGCAGGCGCCGTATAGCTCCCCATTCTGAGGAATATCAGAGCGTGCGTCCACCACTTACACTCTACAAAAATATTCAGTGCGTCTACTTTTCCGGGAAACACGCTTAACCGTTAGGAAACCGGTTACTGGTATTTCTTTAATCGGTCCAGCTATTGAAAATGCCGCTTCAATCGTAACGCCTTTTCTGCGGCCAAAGTGCAAGTCATTTTTATGCAGTCGAGACTGCTGCAATATTGGAGCGTGACCCAAGTCGCCTTTCTCAATGGCCTACATGCCTCCAGGAATATTTCTTTATTCATTTGCATTACCCTAAAAGCCCCGAAGTTGCATTACATAAATGGCAACATTTTACAGAATAAAATATAAAAAATAATAACGCACACACAAGGTTACGCTGAATAGAGCTAAACAAAAATGTTGCATCTCCCCTGTTTATTGTGCGTGAGCAGGAACGGCGGCTAGGTTTACTACCGACGACGAGGTGGCCCAGTCAAAGACCCCAATCGATAGCGCCGCAATGCCGCCTTTTCGCCACAATCAACTATTAAGGGGAAAGTGTACGCCACACTGATTTCCGAAAATAAACTTAAGTCGCCAGTTTTTACAACAAAAATAAACTAAAATGCGAGGCGCAACTCGGGCGCCCAAATGCGGTTTGATTACTATGAAAAAGTCGCCGCATACGGGTAACCCGGGGATCGCCGATCGATTGATCGGTTATTGAAGACCTCCAAAGCGAAGGCCTCGACGAAACACGGAGCCCCGAAACCTGTTTCGAGCGCGAGATGGCTCATTTATTATTTAAATCGGCCGGGGAATGTATCTGCGAGCATGCATATAGACGCTCGAAACATGAGCCCGATTCGAGATGTTGTAACTGATCTTTTCTGTTCTCACTGTGATACCGATCCTATGAAACGGGCGAGTGTGAAAACACACGAGGCCTGTGTTGGCGACAGGAACACTGCAGAGTCTGTAGGGTGTTCCGAAGAAACCGTTCGGTTCTAAAAACAAAGCATTAATAAGGGAATAAACGGTGCAATGAAACTTTTCACAACGGTGTTTTTGAGTGGTGCATCTATCCTTTCCAAATATCATGAGTGTAGGATCTGATAAAAAAAATAAAGAGAAAGGAAGAAAGACATGCTACCTTAATGCACAGAAAGAAAAACGACGACAAGCTAGGTGGTTACATTCCATTCTTACCCTATGAAAGCTCGACAAAAACAACCTCAAGAGGAAAGGAGAAAAAAAGAAAGTAGCAAATAATCCACCTTTCCTCCCCCTCCAAAAAAAAAAGAAAGAGAGAAAGAGGAAGAGAGAGACTTTGATCATGAAATTGCCAAAACGCGAAATTGAGGGAAAAAGGAAGTACCAATTAGTTGGAATAAGGTTAAGATTTGTTGAGAGGCCCCGAAACACATCACTAAGTTACGAGCGCGTGTCGAAGACTCTCCGCTCCATCAAGCCGAACCTGTAGCAAAATAGCTTAACGTTTCAGTCATAGTCTCCCACCACTGAGGCGACAGCACAACCAAGTTCTCGCCAAAGTAACGACGAGTCCGATCACTGATGGCTCAGCCACCCCCCGAGAGCTCGCGGTGGTTGGGGACACGAAAAATTGACTGGCTTAGACAGTTCGTCAAATACAATGAAGGTGCGACAGCTCTAATGCGCAATCCCCCGTCTCTGTGCTGCGGAACGGGGATAAGATAGGGGAGTGTTAGCGCACCGCTTACCGGGCCCTAACCCACCCGGCACAACGCCATTGGTCTCCCGAGCAGTGACGTCAAACCAATAGCTACGCTCCGTCGCTTACACTCACTGGTATGGCCATGCTACGGTGCGCCCGACACCAACACGAGCAGGCAAGGTCCGTGCAAAGCCCGTATATAAAAACCCTTAAAAAAAAAAGGCAACGCGATGGACTCACCCAGGTTGACGAACTTTTCGCTGAACTCGAACCAGCCCGCGAAGCCTCGGTTCTGGCTGTCGGCCATGCGCCTGAGCGTCGTAAATTTGACGTACAGGGTTTCGGCCGACGAGTACACCACTAGGTTCCGCTGCTGCCCGCAGTAGGTGCCGATCAGGGGGTCCCCACTCGAGTTGCCGTCGTAGATTTTCACGTAGTCGAAGGGACAACTGCGCGGGATGCGCACAAAAGCCTTTTAGTGCGGAAGCATTAACTGTCCCGTAGAGCGAGCCGACGTCATCAGCTTTGAAGTCGCGCCAAACAACGCCTTAAATCTTTTCTCCAAGTAAAGCCAGCTCCCAGCTATAAAACTACGCGAAAAGCCTAGCCAAACGGCACCTATACCTTCCCCGATCCCATAGGAGCGGAGTAAAGCTGATGGATTTCGGCAGTGAAATTGGGTTGTGTGTATGTTTGTACAGCCTAGAACTTGGTCTGCCTCAGCGGGCGACGAGTCTCCCAGCTGTAGATGAGAAATTTAGCCAGTGCAATAGAACCGCTAGCCTGGGGTCTTTAACGTGCATCACGCAGCAGTAATACACGAACGCAAGCCGGTACGATTCTCATCCAGATCGAAACGGGCAGGGGTGGGGATTGAGCCCAGATCCTGAAATCTGCAGCGCAAGCTTTCGCTCCACGTGCTCCGAGCTGGTGTGCCCTAGCCCACTCGGCCACCGATTCCCCCTGTTATCTAAAGAGATCAAGGCGAGGCGCTGCTCGAAAAAAGATCGCTAGCGACACGTGGTAGGTTCAACACTATGAGTTTCACGAGGAGGCCACCCCCCTTTCTACTGCGCGATCTTTCTTGTTCACTAAAATTTTATCTAAAGGCTTTGCTTCAGAAAGGTAAGCACCTCTATTTATTTTATTTCATATCGCAGCAGAAGAGGAGAAACCTTGAAAGTGAGATGACACAGTCCAAAAAATAAAAATGATCTGGGCGTATACCTTCTTGCAGACCACGTGAATTAAAAGTGCGATCTGCACAGGGGCAATGAGAGAGCGAAACGTCATACTTAAACTCCCTGCGCGCTGTTTGTGTTTCGGAGCTGAGCTAATTTTCTGATCCGTTTTGTTTCCCATTATTTTGAACACTTGTAACATCCCTTGAAACACGGATATTTACGTAAAAAAATGCAAAAGAGCAAGATGAAAAGTATACAAGACAATACGTTTTTTTGTGCGCATCTCTCATTCGTCTTCTTTTATTTTTATTTTTCTAGCTGGCTATAGTTTTGCTATAAACCAGATCGCCCAATGCGTCATTTTAGTTCGAATCATCATTTGAGGGAGACGTGGGTATCGAACGAAAAATTGTGCCCTTCGAGGTGTTTACGCACGGCTAACGCGGCGGGACATTTCGTTTTGGCTTTACTATTCGAGGCACCACGTGGTGCGTTAGCGTTAATGATGGTACTAACGCCTCATGTCATTGATCGTAAGATCAAGAGCGTTTAGAAAGGCTGCTTTAGCCTTAGAATGTTGGCGTACACGGGAAATGGTTACATTACAGGGGCTAATACTCTAGCAAAACGTTTCTGGGGAAAAACAATTATTGAAAATCGTAAAATTTTAGACTTTCTAGATACTATGAGTCTCTCTTTATTATAGCCCTCGACATTACTACGGTTCTTCTAATTGGTCGGTAGAAATAAACGTTTTGCGAAGGGGGCCATTAGACCCTTTGGAAAAGAATATGTCGGACCTAGAAATAAGATGTATGCGTTTTTGAGTTCCTTATTAGTAACCATGCGTATTCTATTATTGCCCTCTATATTTCTGCCGAAGAATATTTCAAATTATGCAATTGTTCGGCAGAATATTTTTTTTTTTCCTTTTCTGAGAATTTTGAAGAGAGGGCGCAAAGGGGCGAATGCCCTAGAATGTCCGCGATGGGAGCAGAACAAGACATAAAGTTGGAGTAGTAGGTATTTAATAATAAAAAAGTAAAACCGCGCCAAGGCACACAAAAGACCAGAGGAACAAAGTACACGTACAAGGCGCTTACTGTCAGCTACATATTTTCTTTCCAAAAGCACGTAGAAATTCAGTTGACAGCCCGCGCCTTGTAAGTGTACTTCGTTTTTTGTGTCCTCCGTCGATCTTATCGCAGTTTTACCTTCTTATTTTCATAGTAACAAATATAAACCTATACTTAATATTAAATTAAAAAAATAAGGCGCGGCGCTTACTGAGATCCACCGTAGAAGAGGTCGAAGTCAAGGAATTCGAGGCGCACTCGCTGTCCTCTGCTGCCTAGGAACCTGTAGCGACACTGAAGGTTCTTGGGATAAACGCCGGGGTAGGTGGGCGAGTAGAAGTCGCCCTCACGCTTCTGGTCTCCCTGGATTGTGAAGCTGCACACCGACCCGGGCTCGGGCTTGCCCAGCAGGAACCGGGCTGCGGGAAGAAGAGAGAGAGAAAAAAAAGGTTTGCGGGAAGCGTCAAAGGCAGTCGAGAAGGAATTAGATCGTGTCCCTCTCCGTGCTCATCTACACCTGCTGTCAACGACGTACACTTTCAAGAGCTCCCTGCGCGTATATTGCGCAGCGCTACACTCGGAACATTTTAATCATTAGCTTTCCATTAATTAAAAAAAAAAACATCTTGAATGTGAACGTGAATTCTATGCAGAAATATAACAGATTAAAAACCTAGTAGATGGCTTACCTTGAGAGTGATCTTTCTGTCTCTGATAACGGCTTCTGATCGGTGCCATTTTAGAGCTCGTGCATTGGCACATGTTTCGCTCGCTTTCCGAAACAGTGACCATGCGCGTGTTGGGCTTTGATGTTCCCACGCTGGGTTTGTAATTTTGTAAACATCAGAACGGTGAGGTATGCATGGGCGCCGCCATAACCGACCTTCAGTTTTAGTTTCCTCTTATTCCGTTTACTTCACCTCATCGTTACCCTAGAAGGCCAGGTTATTGCCATTTTAGGTTCTATTGTGTCCTCCCCAGCGTTGGTATTTGAAGAGGCTCGTCAACGCCCGTTTCGGTGGCTCAGTATTTCGGTAAGACAAGAGAAGGTCAGCAAAAACGGCTGTAATCTGGCGCGTATTCGAAGCGCATATAGATATTTTTGTTGAATAGCATTATTTTATTGTACTTTACGCGGTATGTACTCCAAGCTGAAAACTGCATGAGGTGCTATGCCTTGGTCGAGTGTTTTTATAGACAATCTTCTTTCACGTCCTACGAAAGAGTTGATCATAGGTGCAAAAAGTACATATACAACCAATCAAAAGGGTGATCAATTACATACGTCAATATCCGCGTTGTTGTAGTGCGCAAAAGGCCCCTGCTCTTTTCTGTCATTTGGCTCAACTGACCTTCTCAACTGCTCTTTGCCATTTTCTGCCGCGTGGTTCAACTGTCATGAGAAAGACCCCGGATTGTGTCTGCCCAAATTATTGTGTGTAATATATAACATCAGATGGAAAATGCAAATGTAAGTCAACGAACGCCAAGGATATCAGGTATATAGTTACAAACTGACAGTGGGTTGCAGTGGAAATTGCCCCTTTGTCGTTTCTGAAATTGGATGGCTATACGCCCTTTTTTGTTTGGCAACAAGGTCGGCGGCGCCATCTATGTAGCCCCAGCACTCCTCTGGTTCACGTATATTTCCTAATTTTTTACTTATCATTCTTTTATCGTAAGAGTGAATTAGGTAAGATAGGGCTGACAGTGGCCATTTCCAGATGACAGCGCATATATTTGATTTGGGGTATACTGCGAAACACGCAGACTATTTCAGAACCGAGAGTGGTTGGGGGCTATTTGCACATTGGCGCCACCACGTTTCAACTCACGCGAGAAAGAGCCGAATAAGAAATGAACAAACCACACGCACAACATAAAATATGAATAAGAGACACCAGCGTACGAATCGGCACACACTGCTGCGATTTATTACATGCGGGATTATGGATGTGCGTCGATGAATAATTTTCTGTAACAATAAATCGACATAAATCGAGAGCCTTTCTTCGGTTACTTAATTGGCCAATCGATTCAATATAAGGTCACTGGATTCTTGGAAAGTAGCCCATTGCCTTCCCTCTTTGCTAGACAGACACAAAGATATACTAACCAGAGTGTCGAACCGAAATTTTTATCGGTTCGGTTATGGTTCGGGTTCACAGCTTTCGGTTCGGTTCCGGTTCAGTTCCGGGGAGCAAAAAATAACGGTTCAAACCGGTTCGAACCGGTTCAAACCGGTTTGCACCGCTAAATTGAGAATATATTTTCCACGTTGTTCTGGCCATATACACCATTTACGCCGTGAAACGATAAACTATATAACTTCTTCGATCGTCCGTGCAATTCACTTTTGGTGTTAGGTACCAAAATATGGAATTCTGTTAATTAATTTTGACGCAAGAGTAAAAGAAAATCTACATTGACGCACATAACGTCGTGTTCATACGACTCGACATCCCTTTGTTTACTAGTAACACATTTTTTACCTGAATCAAAATGTTTAGGTACAAGAGTGAAGAGGTGAGCTTGTTGGCACATCTATAAATAGATCAGCTTGAAATTTAGAACTCTACGGCATTTTCTTGTCCTTTCTTCGTGTTTAAGTAATATTCTAAAGTTCAATCTGATTTATTTACACGGTATAAAATATTGTCGCGAAGTGTGCTAGGTCGCCTAAAATACCCGTGATTGATACAACTTTGTGTCGCAGTATTAAAAGTGAAATCGTGATTGTGTTTTTAAACCAGGGAATTAAATACATCACATAAAATTATAAAATAAGCACCTCGTGGCCATATATATTACCAGATATTGTTTACGAAATACAGTTCACAATATATATGTATGAGATGACGACGCAACTTAGCTAAAAGCAATGACATTTTCAAAATGTCACAAAAGCTATAGAATAATTCCTTTCCGACTATTTGTTATAGGAACACCGAGGGGCGATCAAAATGCTTTTTACACTCAGTACCGCATGCATGCGACTAATCATGCAGCAAGGAGTGATCGCGATTGTTCACCCTAACCTATACGCACCTTCGCACTCCGATCGAATCTGCCCCAAAATAGCGCTTGTCCAAATGAACATTTTCTTACACAGAAGAAGCTGGCATAGCCTGTTTGTTGAGGTTTGTTCTTGACAAGATGCCGGCCAATTTAATTTGCAAAGGAGCATCACCCTTGCTAATTGATGACTTTAACGCGATAGTGTTAAGGAACTCATGTCGCAGAAAACCCGATGTCGGTGGCGTGACTAGAAAATCTTGGTTGGTCGATAGGGTTATGACGTCAGAGCTACATGCCCCAGCGCAAGAATTTCAAACAACCCACAATGCTCATGTGAAACGCAACATCACGCGTGGAATGAGAGTGATTAAAACATGACATGTAATGCGAAATAAAGTTCGCCCTATGTCTCAAATGATTTCACTTTTTAAAGTAATTCTTTGCCTTAAAGAAAAAAATTAAGAATTTTAGGTGGGATTTGAACCCACGACCCTTCGGGTGCGGGTCAGACGCTTTTGACTAGGCCACGCGAGGCACGCTTTCTTGGCAAATGAGAATGCGGTGCAAAGGAGGCCCGTTAAGGCTATCGCGTTCCACCTTTAAAAGCGAAGCTTAAGCGTCCTCCAAGATTCTTTTTTGTTAAGTAAATCGAAGTAGTATTCCACATTCTACTCGACATGGCAGCTACTTAATTGAACACTTTCTGACGGTTTGCGTGCGTAATCGTCATAGTTCCGCCACGCGTCCTTGTTTACTTTGTTTTTGTCCAGCCCACAGACACATAAAAGTAACGTTCCCCACATAAAAGAGGCAATAACAGACTTCTATATGCTTGAGAAGTTATATGTGTGAGGAACACAGTTATTTAAATTAGCTTCAAAATCAGGAATGTGTGTAAGGATGTCCCATATCACGTACAACGTGGCTGTCGAGGATAAAAACGCCGGAAAAGATTGGCAGAACATTTTTCAGATAGTTTGGGGGGGGGGGGGGGGGGGGGGCATTGCTTTAGTGTGGTCGGGCACTTTTTATTTGTGTTGTCCAATATTCAGTTAGTAATTAAATATATTTTTATAATGATCAATAAATTTTACTTTATAAAGTTCCCATAACCGCTTGAGACCGACGAGAAAGGACGATACTCGAAACTACGCGAGCTGTGGGTCTGCGTAAAAGTGTTTTTCTGTTTGCTGATTGGAAGTTTGAGACATCGGGTTGCAGGGTATGCCATAGAGGGCTCTGTGCTCACATAATAGATTGGAAGTCAAATATATGAAATGTTCAAAAATAGAGAGATAATTAATGTTATTTTTCCAAACAATCCCTTAAAGAACGCCTTACTGCAAAAAGATATGCGTACAAATGCACGCAATGAAATATATAATTTTACATAGATAGGGCGAAGGACAGACAAGGATTCTTAAAATCTTAGTATAAATCACAATTTATCAGCTTCCATAAGCTAGAAACTTCGCGAAATACTGCCTCGGGAGGCTAATGTTATATTCGGTTTTACCTGCACTTGTTTTGGCCCTCACTTTAACCTACATGCTTGAATAGTCATGCGCGCTAACATTTCTCTAGGCTGCCATATATCATCGCGGGACCGCAAAAAAATCGCACAACTTTACAATTAGGACATCTATTGATAGTGTTGCAAGCATCACATTTCACCAGAAACCTTAACTGTTTAACATGGTATGCACGTGACATCATCACACTATAGGTTGGTGGTCGTTGTGATTTCTTCTTGCAAACAAATTCGAATTCAATGGTGCAAAATGAATGCTGCAGGAGGTTCAAGCTTAGTGAAAGTCAAGTATTTTAAAAGCACATATTACTATTCTTAGTGCATCGTCGTGAGGAACGGCGCGAGCGTCTGGAACGACAAAAAAGTGCTATTTGGCAAGAGCCTTTTGCACACAAAGTAGTTTCCGGGGTCACGCTTTTTGGTCTGCGCCAAAGATGCAGGGAAGAGGAACCTTTACAACACAGTAGGTTTTTAAAATTAACCCCCCCCCTTCCCCACACATCCAGCACATACACACACACACACAAACACACATACACACACACACACACAAACACTTCTTTTTACAGCGGAGCTATTAAGGGCTAGTTACCCCAGTATCGTGTCTGTCAGCAAACAAATGACGACACTAAACTCTGGACAGCTACCGCCATCTATAAGTGACGACGGCAACCAGACAACCGACTTGCTGGTTGTCTGGTTGCCGCCGTCGCGCATAGACGGCGGCAACCTCTACAGCCTTTCCAATCTGGCTTGCCGACTTGCGGCCGGCCGTTACTTCATTCCCAACATAGTAAAGCTTCGCTGGTCTTCCTTCTTCACCGAAGTGGAAAGGGTGATAGTATTCCTGAGAAATTGTCTCCTCCGTTC